CAATACTATCACCACCACTGACACCAATCATCTAAATAATTGGTCACGAACCTTTTTCATACAATCACAATTCAATCCAATCCCAGCACGACCACCAAAATCACCACAACCTGTCAAAATGGGAATAGTGAATTTTTATTTCCCAAATGGTAAGGGAAATTCATTGTAATGATTGAACAAACCTTGATCCTTAGTCCTCTCAAATCATCCAATCCAATTCTAAGCCTCGTTGGCCAATCCAACACATTTGTGTTCTCGTTCAACATGGAACCCAAAGTCCTATTTGGCAAATGCTTGAAAACCAACAGCTTCTTCTCCTCTACTACGCAACCAAGATCCAAAATAATAGCAGTTACAGCAGCAGCATCATCGCCGTTGCACTGTACCACCAACATCACTACCACCTCACTAGTACCAATATTTCACCACCATTGCATAACTACGACAAACAAGATCCAACATAATAGGCGATTGCATCGTCCCTGCTTTAGCGACGATGACTGTGTTAGGATAGATACGATAATCCCTCCTAGAATAAATAGGTAGACACGGTAGAGAGAAAAATGTGTGACAAGGTTGATTTCTGGGAGTTAATGGTGAATGGGTGGATGGATAGAGATTAGGTTATTTTTAAATTATTATTATTAATAATAGTTGGAGTTATCATCTAATTTATATTTATATAAACATTACATTTTATTTTTGAATTGTCATCTTTAATTGGCGGGTGATTTCTACTATATTTTATACATTTATGTACATGGATCCTAACAACCCACCAGCTTCAAGATTTCAAAAACTCTCTCTATATTTTGAGAAAGAAAGTCTCTCTCTTTCTCTCTCTAAACATTGAAAAAGAAAGTCATTCTCTCTCCACAAAACTCGCTATTTCTACATACAAACACAAAATAATACATATATATACTCTCTCAACCTCATCGAAGCTATTTGATCTCCTCTCTGTGGTGTGTTGGTGAGGATCTGCGTGAGGTGGTGGTGCGACGCTGGGCGGTAGGGTGGTGCAAATCTATATGGTTGGTGGTGGGTGTGAAGTGCTAAGCAGTAGGTATGTGGTGGCGCGGTGGATATGTGGTGCACTATTGATGATTATAGCATTGAATATTGAATTACTTTTTTAATTAATTAATTAATTTGTCCAACAGTGTACACATTATTATCCAAATATGCTAGAAATTGGTATATACAACAAGCAACATTTATAGATGTAGAAGGAATATTAATCCTTTTTTTTCTCTTTATTTAATATTATTCTCACACCAACTAGTGTGCCTGTGTGCAGGTCCATTAGCTTTTGACGTTGCAAACTTTGATGGAAGCTTACCATCAATTCTCCTAAATCCCCATTCATGGACCAAGGCAGAAATTCCTCTCACTCCATGCATGATACAAGTCAAGTATATATATGTCTTCGATAACTCTCTACATTTACAATATAATTATATGGTTTTCAGGTTGCCAATATTATATTTATTGATTGGCCTGTTGGTACTGGATTTTCGTACTCAAACACATCAAGAGGTTACTCTTCCTCAGACACAAAATCAGCAAAAGATAACTACACATTTCTTAGAAAGGTGATAGTATTTATCATGCATGTGGTATTCCTAAGTTGAAATTGAAGAAAATAGAGTTCCATGTGGAACCAAGTAGTCCTCACACATTCCGAAATATATGCACTTGACCACCATTTTTTCTTTATTTGGTTAGTGAACTAACAATATATTGATAATAAAACAGTGGTTATTGAGTCACCCCATGTTTATCAAAAATCGTTTATATATTGCGGGTGAATCCTATGGAGGCAAGCTTGTTGCAATGGTTGCCATGGAGATACTATTAGGTAGTATTTAAGAAAAAAGGAAGCTTAAAAGATTTTATTCAATTTCTTCTCGTCATCCAGTCAAGCTTGATTAAGTTATTGCTCCTGATTGTAATGCAGGTAATGAAGCTGGGTTGCATCCACGAATGTCCCTCCAAGTATTGTTTAGCTTACACAAGCTCATTTATTTTTCTGAACTACAACCTTTTTTGAGTTAATGGTAAGAATACTTTTGATATCCAAACAGGGATATATTATTGGCAATGGATTAACAGATCCGAACATTGATTATAATGAAAGAATTCCATATGCTCACCGCATGGCACTTATATCCGATGGATATTTTGATGTAATCTTTTTTATTCAACTATTTTGATGACCAAATGTTGCATTTTGCATATTATTCTCGTGTAATTACTTGAGAAAATTTCAGTTAGCAAAAGTTAGCTGTGATGGAAAATATGACAATCCTGATCCAAATAATCTGCAATGTCTTTTAGCCCTTCAACCTATCCAAGAGGTACATTTTATCTTATTTTGTATTTCATTCCCTTTAAAATTAATTATATATATTTTCATGACACTAAAAGTTTCATGGTCCAATCAAAATATTGCAGTGTGTAAACCAACTAAATAAAGTTCAGATACTGGAACCAAAATGCGAATACATAGCACCAAAACCAGATGATTTTGGATGGGATCAAACATTTTTGAAAGACAATTCAGTTGGACCCCTTGTCCTCTCAGCATCCAAACAAGATCGAATGTGGTGTCGTGTAACATAATTAATCCTCGTTCTCTATATATATGTCAAATAAAAGTTGGCTTAAAATTTATTTTTCTACAAAGTAAGTTAATACTTACTTTGTACTAAAGAAAAACAATTTAAATCTACGTTTGGTAGAAAGGAAGCTTATAGACTATTTCTTCTTTTATTTTATATTTTATTTTTTTTTAAATCTAAAGAACAGATTTCTTTTCTGCAGACTTATGCAACATCTTATGTTTGGGCAAATGATCCATCTGTCCAAGAAGCTCTTCACATTAGAAAGGTACGTTAAATGGAAAAAATATTAAAGATCCAGTATGCTTCACCATGTGCTAGGTATCAACAAATAGAAAATAATACATTTTATCAAAAAAATTTAGGTTAGTCACGTATTTTGATCAGCAGGGGACAATAGGAGATTGGAGGAGATGCAACCAAAGGTTATCTTATGATGTGAATCAACAAAGTGTTCTTCACTATCATAAAATTTTCAGCAAGAAAGGATGCAGTGTTCTAATTTATAAGTAAGTCAAAAAAAATTTCTTGCTAAATTGAAAATATGACTTAATTTGTTCCAAGTTTAGTCTTATCCGTCAACCAAAATATATTTGGTGATTTATAGTTATGGTAGATCATTTAACGAAAAACGTAACTATACAAATACATAAATTTACATATGTTTTCCAATTATGCTTCTTTTCTTTTTAGTGGTGATCATGACATGGCTGCACCTTATATGGGTCCTTTAAAGTGGATTCGTAGTCTCAATCTGACTGTTGATGACGACTGGAGACCTTGGCATGTTAATGGCCAAGTTGCGGGGTAGGTTCCTATTATATTTATATATATATAGTGTGTGTGTGTGTGTGTGTGTCAGAATTTTAATAAACTCTACACCTTGTAGATACACATTGAAGTATAAGAAGAGTGAATTCGAACTCACATTTGTAACAGTGAAGGCAAGAAAGTTTGACTATGCTCTCTCTCACTAAGATTTGAAGAAAAGCAAGAAATGAAAGTACGATTTTATTTTGCAGGGTGCAGGGCATACAGCTCCTGAGTACAAACCTAAAGAATGTCTTGCAATGTTACATCGGTGGCTCTCAAAACGTCCTTTATAGGTACGGATAGACAAGCATGTTTTATCTGTTCATATGTAACCCATTTTTAGCATGTAATCTCAATAAATACTGTGCATTTTTAAGTTCAGCTAAGGAATCTTGTTGCTTTTAGAGCAAACGTACAAGTAACTTAATTTTGAATGTATTTCTTTGTAGTACTCCATTCTTAGGTAGCGTACGTCATTTTATTTTTCTTAGATGTACAGTAGAACACATTTAAGTAATATTTTCAAAAGTGATGTTTCGAATTTTATTGTAATGTTATGAATTTGTAGCATTTCGTCCTTCATCCGTGTGCCTGGTTTGAGTGGCTATCATTGAATTCTATTCTACTTATATGACTTAGTTTATTTAAGTTTGTTGGCTAACATGCCGCAACCTGTGTCCCTTAGAGCTCGGTTTGCTAAGGGCATTGTCATGTCATAACCTGTTGACCCTCCTGAATATGTAAATTATAGCTCATACAGAAAAGAGAACTGTCTGACTTTAGTTATAGAAGCTTTTAACTCAATAATTATAAAAGTATTCGATGGAATAGGGAGATTTACCCTTAAATTTGATTGCCTCATCATTTCTTCGACGCGAGCACTTGTACATGATTTGACTGATCAGAAGTACAAGAAGATTAATTAACCAAGAAAGTGTTGGAAAATAAAACTGATTGATGTAATATATATGACACGATATGAAATATATAATCGCAAAATAAACAACAAGATAAAAGGCAAAGAATTAATTGGCAGAGAAACAAAGTATTTTATTTAATTGACTAATATAGAGAAAATAAATATAATAACTGTGCCTATACAATTATGCTATATTTCAGTAATACAAAACTTGTGAAAAGAGTCTAATATTAGGAGTGCATACCAAATCCTAGAAATACTATAACGATGGAAACAAGATAAAAATCACGTGGAAAATTAAAAAAAAA